GAGGACTTGGTGAAGGGGGGAGCCTAGTAAAAATAATGTTCTTTATGTAATTGTAGATTAATGATACAAAAAAAAATCTAAAGAACCACATGTTACATTTGGTGGGTTTGTCTCTGAAATCTATTTTAATCCACATAGGCAACCCCCACATCCACCTTTTTATCATTTTGTTTTGGTGAAGAAACAAATTTTTGTCCTGTAGAAATTTCCTGCACTCAGGATTTTGCTGCATTCCTATGTATTGCATTCTTATGGTGACATTTTGCAAATTCCTGTTTCCTTTTATTTTCTGTAAACTGGTAGATATAAAGGCTTCCCTGATTTAGGTTCAAATTTTTTGGCAAGAATACATCATAGGTGGTGGTGTGCATTTCCATCAGAAAGTACATAATGTCCATGTGTTTCTCTTTTTTGTAATAATGTTAACACTATTGTTGATCATTGCTTAGATCCATGATCTCATTAAGGGCTTGCAAAATGGTGATGTTGTATCATTCCTTTTCACTTACTAATTGGTTACCTTAAGGCACATTTGTAAAGAAAAGCCAGTTGAATGCTTGTTTCTTAATATTTACCAGTTTTCAGAATAATTGCCGAACATCAATTATATTGTTACCCTTAAGTGAGTATATATAGAGCCCTCTTCCTATTATCCCTGCCAGCCGCTTTGTGTCATTTTGATTTTTGCCAGACTGATTAGCATCAAGTGGTTATTCTCATTGTAATATTAATTTGCATTCTTTATGAATTGAAATCTTTTCATATTTACTGTCCACATGGATTTTCTCTTCATTGAATACCAACTTATATTCTCTACCTAATTTCTACAGGGTTGTTTATTCCCTTCTTGACGATGTATAATTGATTTTTGAATGTTACTCTTTTATCTGTCCACTGAATTGCAAATTTACCCCCAAACCTATTTCTAGTGATATTACTTGTGTATTTTTGCCATATAAAAACATTGCTTTTTAAAATAAATCAAATATGTCTTGTTTAAGGTTTCCCCTATTCTACATTTTTATGTGTATTTTCCAAGATTTTCCTAAAGGATTTTTGATATTTTATCTTTTACACTTGAGTTTTTCACTCATGTAGAATTTAATTTTTTGGTAAATGGTAGAATATATGGATATCCAGATAGATAACCAGTGCTTCTATTTATATTTCTTACCCTTTAAAATTTTTCTGACATGTTTTTAAGTCTACATATTTGATAGTATATGTGTAACATTTGAAATATATATATATATATGCATATGTCAGAGGCTTATCCTCAAAAAAATTTTTTTTAAGCTTGAAAGGGGTGCTTAATCAAAAAGTTTTGGAAACCACTGCACTAGATTGTAAGGGTAGTGATTATGGTTTTTTTTTTCATGGTTAAAAATTATTTTAGTGAGGCACATAAAATACACAAATCTTAGTGTATAGCCTGATGAATTTTCACATGCCTATACACTCATGTGATCATAATTATGTTTTTACTTATCTTTGAGTCCATTTCAAAGACTGTCTTTGGCATATTGTATGTGTTCCAAAAATGGCTTTAAATAGTTGAATGAATGAAACTGTCATTATCTGATTCATGTCTTAAGCAACACAGCCATTGAGAAACTGGACACCAAGTTCTGTGGGAAGATATCTGAGACTCAGAACAAGCAATGACTCATAATTGCAGGTAGTACAACTTAACTGGTGTCAAGTTCAAGTTCATACATTTCTAATATGGGAATATAAACTCTTAAAATCTTAAAAGACATCCTTGTAGCTTGTAATCCACACATGCCTATGAAACTGTTTATTTCTTGAGAATACATCCCTGCTTTTAAATACCAGTCATCTACTCTCTACAATGGCAGCTTCCTAGGAAGAAGTCTTCTCAATACTTAATGACGTAAGTATGGTTATATTTAATTTCAGATTGTGAACTTCTAAAAGATACTCTATTGAACACATATTCTGGATAGTGCCAAAAAACAATGTAATTAATTACTAGTTGGGAATATCCCAAATGTCTTTTCCCTTTCTGATATATAAATTAACCCAAGCAAAAATAGCAAGTTTACTTTTCTGGGTTATTGAATTGTTTTAAATAACAATACTGAACACTTAATTTACTCAATCAAATGGGTTATGTTTAACTTAACTGTGCCCTTGGACTTCTTATATTTACCTTTTTACAGCTTTTTTTCCCCTACATTTATGATTTTTTTTCTAGTTCCAGCATTTGATTGGTCTGGTTGATTAATACAAATGAGGCTGATGCTTCCACTACTGGACATTATGCACCATCTCTTTCTTTGTTTTTAGACAAGTGTTCACTTACCACCACTCCCTCTTGTGACATTGGGGAAAGAGAAACCATGCCAGACTTGTTTTTGCTGTCAGTCGGTGTGAAAGCAATCTTTTACGTTGCTCCTATTTTCTTCTTGAGTTATTAAAAGATAGAGGATCCTCAGGAGTAAGGGAAGGCACAGAAATTTGAGAAGTAACCACTTGGATTTTACACTCACTTATGATATCAAAGTATTGGCGACATTAGCATAGAGTACAGTCCAGGATATTTATTCTCACCCACACTCTTTCCCTATTAGAGGCCTCTCAAATTCCTTACTATAACATGTGAGCTACATGACATAATCAAAATGTAAAAGAGAATTCAGAAGCTATTCAGTGAGGCTACTGAGTGCAATGAATGCATTATTCTCAGACTGGCCTGTGGGATTTAGATTACACTTGTATTTAGAGAAATATTTTTAGAAAATATAATATAAACCTAAACAAAAACTTAGGTGACTGCCATCGATAAAACAAGGATATAAATCCTTACTTGGACAAACTAAATAGAAAGCAGTATTTTAAAAATACCTAATTTTAGAATTCTCCGTGATTCTAAGTTCCTTCCTCTTACAAGAAAAAATCGTTCCCAACATAAGTTACTATTTAAAACAAGAAACCTGTACTTTGCGGCCTTCACGCTGCTAGGAAGACAGTGGACACTAATAGGAAACGAAACCCAAGAAACGCCGAATGGGTTTAAAGATTACGAATTAAGACAGAAGAGAATGAAATATTACGAAATGGCCTCATCAGAACTGAGAGTCACTGGAGACAAAAACGTTCGATTTGACTTTTTGTATGCGGGAGCGGAGGGATTTCTCAGGTGTCCAAACGCAAGGAAATGCGGCGGAAAAAGAGCGACGGTTTCTCAGCTGGGATCAGGTGTCTCCGCTCTGTGCTCAGTGGACGGACAGTCGTTTGGTTCAATTCAGTGCCCCTGGGTGCTCATTGGACCCTTCCGTTCAATACTTTGTGCATTTCCCTTGGTCACCAACGAACGCTTTAGTCTAAGAAAGACTTTGTGTATTGGATGTCTTATCCTCGCGTTAGGAAGGTGTCAGCCAATGGGAAGGCACAGGCAGCGGAGGTGACAGGGTCGTAGGGGAGAGTCTATAGAGCCTTTCCCCGCCAGCGCTCTCGCTGTTTGGTTCCTAGAGTTGACCTGGTCATTTACCGTGGCTGAGGCCCGGCTGCGAACCGGGGCGTCGGCTCGGCACCTCCTGGTTCTCTCTGCCTCCTCGGTTGGTGTGGCCTGATGGTGCGGCAGGCTCTGGACTCCTAAAGCTCTGGAGCGGTATGTAGTGCCCAGGGGCCGCAGACAATGCGGTGGAACCAGGAAGGCCGCGGAAAGCGGCCCCTGCACCAAGTCGCGAACCGGCCTGGGCGGGGGCGCTCTGCCTGCCTTTTCGTCAGGACTCCGCCGTGCGTCCCACCAGGCACTTGGAAGCACCCTGCTCTCGTGTGTCCTCTGACAATGTTAGCTTTGTTCACTGCTTCTCCGTCTCCCGCATGTCCGACTTTTACGAACCCTAGCATTATTAATGGATGTCATCTCACTTAATCTGTCCAGTAACTTGCAATTATTTTTGTGCAGCTGTATGTCTACTAAGAGCAGTAGGACGTGATTGTGTTTGGTTTCATTCAAGAGAGAACAGCGTTCACATCTGTGTATTTAAAAAACCCGTGGCGTTAGTGCAGATAGCCGCTCCTTTCGTGGTAGTGTGCTGATGCGTTAGGGCGGTGCAGAATATACCCCAGCACCTAAGGAATAGGAGTCCCCAGGGTTCAGGTATTGTTCTTGTTTCGTAATTGCTGGTGCTCTGTCATATCATCTGAAGTTCTTGCTTTCTTTGATCCTGACAACCACTCAGGATTATTATGAGAGAAATTTGAGCCTCCAAGGAGGCAACCCAACTTCTTGAAGAGTTACAGTTTCTAGTTAAGGGAAAGCCAGATCTAATCTCAATGCTTGCGTTATTTATTAAAAACTCGCTTAACTGAATATGGATTTAGGTTGTTCGTGTGTACCCTCTGCTGCTCTTAGTATGAGAGCTAAATAATTATTTGAGTTGAATGGTAAGTCTTGGCTTACCATTTCTGAAAAGAAAATCAGGCGTGTGCCTAATAACAGGTGCCCCACAGCCACCACCTTCCTCTTAGCTTCTCAGTGTGGTACCCGGACCAGCACCATAGGCCTCATTGGGAGCTTGTTGGAAATGCTGAAACTCTGGCCTTACCCCACCTACTGAATCAGACTGGTCTTTACCAAGATCCCTTAAGTGATCAGAGTGCTTGTTAAATTTTGGGGAGTATTCATTGTCTTAAAATCTGTTGATGATGAATTTTGTCCAAATTGAACTAAAGAAAATAAAAGGTATGCAATATATATGTGTCCTATTAAGACGAAGTACAAAGACAAGGAGAAAGTTGTTTTGTTTTCCACGTTTTCCTCATTTGTGAGACTGATATAAAAAAGTTAAATGTCAGTATTGGCAATATTAGCTTAACAACTGGAAATCCTAAAATAAGCATGAATATTTAAATAGTAATTAAAAACTGATTTGTAAGGCCTCAGGTATGGTCTGAAAAATAAAAAGAAACAAAGAAACAGACAAAAGAAATGTTAAACATTCCTGTTGGACAAAATTTCAAGAACCTTCTGTTTACTCAAAATCTGTGTACATTTTCCCACTATCATTTACCCCCACAATTTTGTTCCATTGACTAAAATCACTTTCTTTGAAAGGAGAGGGTAGATTTGCTACTGCTAGTGGTCTTCCAGTTTATTAATTTGGTTATCTGGTAATAAAATGGAAACCTTGTTACAAATTCACTTACCCTCATATTATTTGGTAATTAAAATATCTTGTAGAATCTTAATGTTTAAGTTTTTATTCATATGTTCCTGGTCATATTAAAAGGACATGCACTTACAGACCACCATAAAGTTGTAATTGCTCTTATTTGCACCAGGAATCACGTGGTGTGCTTATTGATCTGTGTCTTTGGCCCTATCTCCAAGTATTCCTAGTTAGGTCTGGAGTTGGGCTTTGAAATGTGCATTTTAATAATCCCAACTTATTTTGATTAGACTATTCAGGTTTGTACTTCTTGGCATTAGTATTTTAAGCAAAAAACACAATTAGAAAATAGCTTATTTTCTTCTGAACCTAGTACAATACTCATTACAGAAGCAGGGAAGAGAAGAGAGTTTTGTTTTTTTTTTACTTGCATTATGACTTTTTGGATGCTATAAAATTGCTCAGATCAGTGTATTTAAAATGTTATTTAAAAACTATTTTGAAATCTGCCAAATTTGGGAATAAGAAAGGGTAGGATAGAATGAAAGCCAGAATATATCATCTAAAAACATTTTTTTCAGCCTATGAAGCCTTGGAACATTTTTATCAAACAATTTTAGTGCGTGAAATTGATAGAATTAATACAAAAATACTGTGTATTTAATGCATGAATTGGGGTTAAAGTTCTAACTTTGGCTTCCTTTTTTCCATTTTCTCAACTGTTCAGTAGCTGTCTTATGAAATCTTGTGTGAACTCTTGAGTCCATAGAAATATTGATCAATGAACAGGTTTCATACAATTCCCAAGTAACTTGATATTGTCAAGAATATTAAAGAAAAATGACCTCTGGTGAATTCTCTCCTGAAATTTACATTAAAGTAATTGAGGGGGCAAATCAAAGCTTCTGCCTACCTTTATTGCCTTCGTTTAAGTGCCACGGGAAGTGGAGTGCTTGACCTCACCTTCTACTTGTTAGGATTTTTGATACCTTATATTTCTGACTTTTTCTTGGGCAGATTTTGATTTCAGCCCTCTCCTTATCAGTGGGCTTTGAAGATTGGAAGTTTTAAAACATTTTGACTTTTGTTCAGCTCAAAGGAACAGGAAAGATCATAATGTTTTCAGAACCATTCCTGCATAATAGTTATCTAAGGACTCCTTAAATGAGACTGGAACTCTCTTGATTCAAGGCCAGCACTGGGTGCAGAAGGCCATCATTCAGAATATTTGGTTCTTATGTGTGTCTTGTCCCATAGACCTTTGACCAGTAATTAATTCCGCAGGTTTCAGTTTTGGATAGGATTTGTGCTGGTGACAGCACAGAAAGTTCAAGGCTAAGCTGGTTCAGAAACAGGATATTCAGGATGCTGATAGTAGAAGCCCCTAAAAGGCAACATGCCCCCAAACCCTTTAATTTTATCTCTGTATTGGGTCCATTACTTTTTTTTTAATCATTTTTTAAATTGCCACACTAACTGTATTCACATTTTGAGAAAATTACCACAAATTACTATCTTGTTAAAATTCTATTTTCTCGCCTTTATTTTACATTTGCTTGCAGACTGTTAACCATTAATTTAATTTATCTGGAATGTTATTTTTTTTTGCCATGTGGTATGAGTTAAAGATCCCTAGCAGTGATTTTAAATTGCTTTGAAGTTATTCTAATACCATTATTGACTAATCTTACTCTATTTTTCATTCATTTTTGGCTCCATGTAACTTAAGGCTGTCATTCATTAAGCATTTACATTACAGGCAGCAGTCTAAGTCCTTTATGTGTATTGTCATTTCATTTGGACAGTACACCATTTGGCAGATGATATAATTAACTCCATTTAACAGATGGAGAAACCAAGTCAAAGAGTTTAAGAGATTTGCCTAAAATCACATTTACCCAGTAGTAGAGGCTTGGTCTAACTCACTGAGAGCCTGCTTGCTTATACTGAATGCATGTATGGCTTTCCTGGGGCAAGTATCACTGCTCTACCAAGTACCCCACCCCAGCCCAGCCATCAGTACTCTTGGCTTTACTCTTTAGAGTTTTGGATAGTTGAATAAATGGTAGGGCCAGTGCTACTTTATTACCTTTATGCCCCAAAATAACTTTTAATAACCTTTGTGGAGTAACAGAATAATTTTGTTCCCATCCTCCAAATGGCATTGTTTTTGAAATTAGTGAAAACTTACGCATTAATTTGTGGAAAGTATTTACACCTTTATATTCTTCCTAATTAGGAATGTAGTGTAACTTGGTTAATGGAAGGTATTTTTAACTTTGTACATATATGAAGATTTTTCCTTGACATTTTGTTTCTTTGGCTTTTGTATGTTTGGCCTGTTACATTTTCTAAAATATCCTGTTTACTTTTGTGGGCAAAGGTATGTTGAAATTAAAAGGACTGTATGGGAAGTGGAAGGATTGCTGACCAGTTTAGGAGATAATAAATAAGATTTTAGCCCAGTTCTGTACTAACTAGCTTTCATCATCTGGGGCATATTACCTAACTATTTCCTTATCTGTTAAATGAATTGTCCTTGAATCTGGTTTCATTCTTCTGACTATGGCATTAGAGATAGACAAATGTGCTTCCATTCGGTTCAAATTCACCATGATCTCCCCAACTCCACAGGCCTGAGGCACAGGGCAAGATACCCTTCTTGGCTTTTTTTGTTCACAACCTTCTTTGACACCCTCCTTCTTCCTTCAGGATTATCTTTGGTAGACCCAGTATTTTGCATTTTGTTCGCGGATAAGAAAAAAAGCTGTCAGCTAGCCACTTTTCCCTGAGGCACTTGTCTTAGGCTCTAGAAATGTTCTAGAGGAAAAAAGCACTGGCATTGTTACAGTTTGAGAAGTAGAGTGGTTATAAGCTTCAGTTGTAAAGATCTTGTTTCTCATGATTTTAGTGTTAAAATATGTATTGCTAAAAAGGAATTTATTGGAATATTCAAGATGACATATGTTCTTTAAACATTGTGCACACATAAATAACTTGATTTTTTTTAAGTCAGCTTCTTATGTTCATTTTGCTTTTCTTAAACTGTGGAATTGCCAATCCTAAAGTATTTGTGTGACTTGGATTCATCTGTTTCTTTCTAAAGGTGTTGTAATCCTGATCATTTAATAAATGCCGTAATATATCTCAGCTGCTTAGAACTAATTTTGCACACCGTTTCCACAGAATTTAAGAAGATTTTGTTCATGTGTATGGCATAGAAGATGAATTCTTCCTCCTCTACCATGAATGAAGAACCTGATGCTCTCTCAGTAGTTAACCAACTACGGGATCTGGCAGCAGATCCATTAAACAGAAGAGCCATTGTCCAGGATCAAGGATGTCTGCCTGGCCTTATTTTATTTATGGACCATCCCAACCCCTCTGTTGTCCACTCGGCTTTGCTTGTAAGTTGCCTTTAATGTAATTTCAGCTTAGTGCTACAGTTTTGCAATAAAGGAGAATTTGAAAAAAACATAATGTGGTAAAAAATGAAAAATGACTAGAGAACAAATAATACTCTGTGTGCAAACATACATATGTGTATAGTCCATTTACAGAAATGATAGCCTACTACAGTGTTTTTATGTTTTGACACAAATGATAGCATACTACATGCATAAAATGTTCTGCAGCTTTCTTTTTTCGCTTAAGAAATTTTGAGATTGAGATACTTTATGAGTAGGTAGATACTCAGAAAGGTACTGTTTTGTTTTGACTTGGTAATAGCTTTATTCATATGTAAATCACATACCATATAATTTACCTCTTGAAAGTATACAGTTGTTTTTTTCATATATTAAGAGTTGTGCAACCATCACCAAAGTCCATTTTAGAACATTTTCATCACCTAGGAAAAAACTCTATGCTTTACCTATTGCTTCCTAGTCCCTGACCCTCTTCCTTAAATAACCACTGCATTCTGTTTCTCTGTTTGCCTATTCTGGTTGAAAGGCCTATATGTTTTTTATATAAGTAGGCTCATATAATATGTGATCTTTTGTGACTGGTTCTTTCACTGAGCATAGTGTTTCCAAGGTTCAACCATATTGTAGCATGTGTCAATACCACATTCCTTTTTATGGCTGAATAATATTCCATTATGAGGGAAATGTCACATTCTGATTATCCACTCTCAATTCATTTTATATAAGATGGGGAAGAAAGATAAGAAGTGGAAAAGAGAAAAACATACAGGATCATATATAATAATGCAGAACTATCCTGTTATGGGAAAGATGGCTAGAGAAAAACAAATGAAAAAAAGAACAATACAAAGCAATCAGGCAAATTCAGAATGTGATAATTTCTTGAGGACAAATAATCCAGTTTCATGAACAATAAATGGCATTTAAAGCAGCTAGAGTGAAGGACTTTTTTCCCCTTCCTGGTTAAATGTTTTATTTTCCTGTGAAATGAATCCTTTTCATGACTGGTAATTCTTTTTTTTTTAAATATGAATGCTTCATTAATTTGTGTGTCATCCTTGTGCAAGAGGCCATACTAATCTTTTCTGTGTTATTCCAGTTTTAGTATATGTGCTGCCGAAGTGAGCACATGACTGGTAATTTTTAATCAAATGCCAGGCATACAAATTTTATGGTTTCAGATTTTGGATTTTTTGGTCTCCCTATATTTTCAACTTCGTTCAGGGTTGCAGTTAAGTTACATGGGATTAATTTGATCCTTTCAAGATTTTAGGCTTTGTGGAGTGAGTCCAAAGCAGCCCGTATTCTGTATATCACTACAAAGCATATGCATTTCTGAGGATTTACGCTGATTCCTCATGCATTGTGAGGTCTTTTCACCTTTGGTTAGTGGTGTCATGAACTCTTCCCAGCCCAATATGAGTTCCAAGCACTGTAGAACAGCTAAAGAAAATCCTTAAAGAATCATCAGCATGTGAAGGAGATGTGCAAAAATGTACTGTATATTTTTAGAGAGAAAAGTACCTTAGGAAAGTTAAACTTACAAAATAGAAATTTGTGAGTGAGTTTATTTTTTGCAATGCAGTACAAAAATAGGTCTGCTTGTTACATGTATACTGATTGTTAATATCTAATTTTACTGAAATTTTACTCTGATATGAAGGCATACTTTTGTAGGCACTATGTTCAAAAATGTTCTGTTGGTTAATGTTCTGGTAAGTCTTGAACATGGATATTAATAAGTTCATATGAGAGTAAACTGAAAGCAGTTCATTCCATAAAGTGGTTATGTTTTGCTCTCAGCAGTTCGTTTTAATTAACATGTAAAGAGCATATAGGAAAATGAGGCAATTGGACTTGCTGAAATTAATAAATGGAATATAGTTCCTGTATCCTTGTTAAGATGAAGTGGTGAAAATAAAACCAGAGCAGCCTCGTTTTTGACCTTGCAGATAAGTGAGGAATCTTCCTTTCAAAGAGCAGATTCAGCTTCTGCAGCTCAAGGATGGATGGATCATTTCTCCCCTAAGGGACTGCGCTGATGATCACTTTTAAAGAAGAGCTTCTAAACCCTTCAAAACTAATTGACTCTAAAAACAAAAAACTATTTTTCACTCTTTTTCGTCTTGCAATAAGTTAGTAATGGGTTTAATTTTGAGTAGTCTGGACATGTGAATTAACCTGTTAACTGTTTCTGCTGTAGGCTCTTCGGTACTTGGCAGAATGTCGTGCTAACAGAGAAAAGATGAAAGGGGAGCTGGGGATGATGTTAAGCTTGCAAAATATCATACAGAAGTAAGTGTCTCCTAATGCAGTACAAAAATAGGTCTGCTAGTTACATGTATACTGATTCTGAGTACCTAATTTTACTGAAATGTTACTCTGATAGGAAGGCATACTTTTGTGGGCTGTGTGTTCAAAAATGTTCTGATGGTTAGTTGATGTTCTGATTAGTCTTAAACATGGATATTAATAGAAGTCCAATATATGAAAATGCTCAAATATATTTAAATGTTGATAAACATCATACTTACGAATATTTTTAAAAAGAAAATCCTACCCTGTATGAAGTTGTGAAGCATATGTAAATGGATTTGCTAGTAGAACAACACACACTGATTGGATTTGAAAGTATGCACTATTATAAAGTAGTACAGAATTCTTTTTTTACATCATCCAAATCTCAAACTTCATCAGTATCTTGGCAAAAAGGGCTTTTGGTGAGATTTTTCTGAGAATCACTGAGAGGTATCTCAGAGGCTTAGAACTATTTAATTGGAATTATAGTGGATGGGTGTTTTTACTTGTACCTTTCATCTTAGATTTTCGTATCCATTGTTTCATTTGTTATTACCAACTTTTTAAATAGGTTTGATAGTAACAAAGGCCAAGTCACTAATCTGTAGTCTTTCAACTGTGTTACCTCTGGGGATGTCTGGTTTTGCCCTGTAGGCACCGCTGATTTCCTTGTTGAAGGCTGGAAATGAAAGATTAAGTGTTTTGATATTTCCACTGTGTCTGAAAGCAAAAAAAGCTCTGCTTCCAGAGGCTTTATCTAAGTTTACTTTGTATCTTGACCTTATACCAGAAGAGACTGCCCTTAAAACTATGCATGACCATTTAATGTATTTGACTGCTAAAACTTAACCTTGTAGGTACTTTGGCTTCTGTGCTAACAAAAGTGCTTTAGTTCCCAAACAGTCAGTGAACTTTTATCAGTAGTCATCTACTCTGACTTCCAAGGCTGTGTTGTTGTTCAGTTGTTGTTTTGAAGATCTGGTTGGTTTTATTAAGGGATTCAGGCATCAGGGAGCATCCTTTCTGGCAAGTAGAGAAATTCTCCAAGTTTTGCAAAATTGAAGGTTTTTTTAGACAGGAGGGTGGTCAAAGAGTTCTATCAAAAGAAGAGATTAGGGATTGTTTCAGGTAAGGTAGACCTCCCTTAGGAGGAGAGCCAGGGGTCTTATGAAGATTACTTCATTAGTAATAAGGAAAATTCCAGACTGATTGGCTTAAAATTCCACTGCTGGGAGAGACTGAAATTACAATTAGGTTAGGTTTTTCTTTTCTTAGCTTCTGGATAAATATTACTTTGTTAATCTTTTATTTTAGAGATGACTTAAATATTTGTTCTCATGAGGTTAGCTATTTGATAGGATAATTCTGTAGTGCATTGATCTTTGATAATGACAAGACAGAGACTGAAGATTTTTTTCTTGTATTTATTCAAATTAACAGTTAGGAATAATAACAGAAAATATTGACTGCCATCAGTTGTGTTAAACATTGCCTCTGATTTGAAGTCAGTTCCGTTAGTGAAAATCTGGATTCTAGGTCTGACTTGAGACAGGTAGTCTCTTTGACCCTCATTTTCCTTATTTGCAAAGTGATTGTGGATCCAGTGGGATGATACATGTAGAAATGCTTTGTAAATTCTAAAGTGTTGTACAAAATATAAATTTACATTATTCTTTTTCCTAGTGCTTTAATGCTATTTTTGTTAGGTCAAGAAAGCCAAGCAAATGCAGGAGTCCAGATTGGTGACAGCAAGATTTAATAGAAGACTTCACTACAGAGATAGTGAAGGGCTGAGTTGGAGAGACTACAGCACTGAAAGGAAAAAGTTTTGGGATTTTATAGTAATCAGTCTTTAGCCAATCAGGTATTCCCAGGTGTCAGGGCAGGACGCAGGTGCAAGAATTTCTGTCTCTTGGTTATTGGGACTTGAGCCCCGCAGATGTTCTCAGGGTCTGGGCAGGATGTTTTCCAGCTCTTCTCTGGGCCTGCGTTTTCTCTAAGAATTGAATTCAAAGTATCACAATTTTCTTGTTTCTGCCTTCTCTACATTACCCTCTCTTGTTTAAAATACTTCAGTGGATTGGGGCAAAGTTCTAGCTTCTGTAACTTCTTCAATGTGAGTTATGGCATAGAGGTGTCCTGTCAATTGTTGGGGGAGGCTGCAGAGAAATGGTCCCTTAAGGTGACTTGCCATCTGGCTAGGTTCTCTGGAAGACCTTCCCATTTGTCGGCTGACTTGAGAAGCTGCAAACTTCAGGAGGCTGAGAACAAAGTACATACGAGTAGGGGAGCTATAACAGGTCCTGTGAAAGGCAGTGTCCATTTCATGGTGGGTAGAAATGAGTGGTTCAAAATGCTTCAGTCCAGAAATTTGGTCAGCTAGGCTGACTGAGAGCTGGGAAGTGGTCAGGGAGGAGTGAACAATGGCAGCAGTGCTGGTGCCAAGAGCTGCTGCAGTTGTAAGCATTACAAGAGTAGAAGCAAGTTCTCCTTTATGCTTATGCATGAGTGGGGAGGAAGTTATATAGGGCATAGGGATGGGCCTCTAATGCAAAGGGATAGCGGAAGAATCGAGACTAGGATGCATCAGCCAGTCCAGCTGGGGGCCAGGCAGAGGAAGGCAATAGTATTACAAAGAAAGTAAAGCTGGGAATCTTCAGGCAGGTGGTGATAGAGAAATTTGAGAAGGGTCTGTTAGGTTTGGGAACTAAGGAATGGAGCAGGATATTGGCTTCGTTTATGAGCATAAGGTCTTGGGTGAGTCGGTTTTCTATCGACAAGTTGGGAGCGGTGCAGTGCGGTAAAATTAAGAACGAGTGTGAGAAGAGGTGTCTTTCTAGCTGGCAGAATGGTAGGCAAGTAGCTAATGGGTGTGAAGAGTTAGAGATGGAGGAGTTGAGAAGAAGTCCTGAAAATTCAGCAAGGGCAGGATAAGTGGCCCCCATATTAATGAGGAAGGAAATGTGCTTACAGCATGACAGGGAGGGTTATTCTTGGTTCCCTCAATGAGATGGTGGATGTGGAGGCTGATTACAGGGCGGGGATCTTTAGTCTTCAGTAAAGTGCCTTAAGTAAAGATGGGAGGTCGGAAGCCTCTGCCTGCCTGTTCAGGGGATGTTGAGGGCCTGGTGCCTTGAGAGGCAGTCAGGCAATTGGATTTCTAGTGGCTCAGTTGGCCACAAAGAAGGCAGGAATGGGGCAGAAGCTCCGGGAATGGGCAGATTTGCTCCAGTAGCCAGACTGTCCACATCTAAAGCGGGTGCTGGGTGGGACTCCATCCCACAAGAGGACATGGCTTCTTCTGATGGGAGCTATGGCGGAAGAAACAGCTGAAGCTAAAAACCTAAAGGCCAGTGATCATTCCTTAGCCCTTCTCTTTTCTTTTGCTAATTCCTCTTGTTTTTGGTATTCATCTCTATTAATGAAGACCTTAAAGTTTAGGGTGGGGAGTTTCCCCTGGGGGGCGGGGTTGTAGGCCTTTCTTAGCTTCTCTAATTTGCACGAATATCTGGGGCCCCCTGGGATTATGAAATGCAGGCATGATTGATTTTCTGTCTGGGAGTTCTGGGTGGAGATTTATGTGTCTCTGGAGAGCCTGCGAAAGGCGGAAGATGATTCTTGAGCAAAATGGCTGGGGTCGGAGGAAAAGGAGTCTAATAGTTGTTCAGTCTGGAATAGATTATATATGGAGAAGTGTGTATAAATGTGGATGATGCCCTCTGTGTCCCCTACTTACAGAAGGGGGAGGACAGGAGTGGCCTTATGGAATGAGAGACCAAAGTAGGGGTCGGGGGGAGGATGGAAGGGTTTTGAGGAGAAGGAGGAGGCTCAGAATTGTGGGAAGAGAAGGGAAGGAGCATCAGTAGGGTATGTGGGGAGGTGGAAGGATGGTTTCTGGGGGTCCTGGAGAAAGGGTGAGGAGTGTTGGAGGGCAAGGGGGTGTAGGAGGAGAGTAGGGCAGTGGGAATGCAGGGTCCGAAAGATGGAAAGAGAAGGGATTGGGTGAAGGGGGTTGACGGGTTGGAGGAAAGAAGATATGACAGGAGGAGCAGGAGGAACAGAGTGCTGGATTGCAGTGGAGTTAAAAAAAAGGCAAGAAAATAGGGACTCTTGATGCCGGAGTTCTTGTTCAGCCAGGATGCTAGTTATGTGTTTTGTTTTTGTTTTTCTTTTGTGAGAGGGCATCTCTCATATTTATTGATCAAATGGTTGTTA